CACTGTCCTCTGTGATGTAAACAATGTTCCCAATGATGTCACTGCTGTCTCTGTGATGTTACACCTGGCCTTGTGATGTCACTGATGTCCCCTGTGATGTCACCACTGTCCCTGTGACATCACAGCTGTGCCTTTGTGGTCAACAGTCCCCTGTGATGTCACTGGTCCCCAATGATGTCACTGCTTTCTTTGTGATGTCACCACTGTCCTTAGGTGTGGCTCCATGTCCCCATGATGTCACTAACTTCTCTGTGACATCAGGGCTGTCCCTTTCTTGTGATCAGTCTCCTGTGATGTCACTTGTCCAAAATGATGTCACTGATGTCCCTGTGGTGTCACCACTGTCCCTGACGATGTCACTGGTTTCTCTATGATGTCAACCCAATCCTTGTGAATTTACTGATGTCCCTGTGACATCACCGCTCTCCCTTTGCTGTCAACATTCTCCTGTGATGTCACTGCTCCCCAGTAATGTCACTGCTGTTGCTGTGATTTCACCACTGTCCCCAACAGTGCCACCATTTCCCTGTGATGTGACCGATGTCCCTGTGATGTCACCAGGCCCCTTTGATGGCATTGATGTCCCTGTGACATCACTGCTGTCCCCCTGTTGTCACTCTGATGTCACTGGTCCCCAATGATGTCCCTGCTGTCTCTGTGATGTCACCCCTGGCCTTGTGAAGTCACCGATGTCGGCTGTGATGTCACAGATGTCCCCATTAATGTCACTGCTGTCTCTGTGATGTCACCACTGTGCTGAGCCGTGGCACCATGTCCCAGTGAGTTCATCGATGTCCCTGTGACATCACAACTGTCCCTTTGTTGTCAACAGTCCCCTGTGACATCACTGGTCCCAATGAAGTCATTGCAGTCTCTGTGATGTCACCACTGTCCCTTCTGGTGTCACCAATGCTTCTGATGATGTCACCAGTGTCTCTGAAATGTCACCCTCGTCCTTGTAAAGTCACCAATGTCCCCATTGATGTCACCAATGTCACTGTGATATCACAACTGTCTCTTTGTTTTCACCAGTTCCCTCTGATGTCACTGGTCCCCAGTAATGTCATGGATGTCCCTGTGATGTCACTAATGATGTCACTGATGTCTCTGTGATTTCATACATAGCCTTATGCAGTCATTGATGTCCCCTGTAATGTCACCAATGTCCCTGTGCCATCATGGCTTTCCAATTATTGTTGCCAGTGCCTTGTGATGTCACAAGTGTCCCCAATGATGTCACTGATGTCTCTGTGATGTCACCCCTGTTGTTGTGAAGTCACCAATGTCTCCCTGTGACATCACGGCTGTCCCTTTTTTGTCACCAGTCCCCTGTGATGTCACTGGTCCCCAGTGATATCACCCATCTCCCTTTGATGTCACCACTGTCCCCTGTGATGTTAACAATGACCCTGATGATGTCACCGGTGTCACTGTGATTTCACCCTTGCCCTTGTGAAGTCACTGAAGTCCCCTGTGATGTCACCAATAGCCCTGTAACATCACAGCTGTCCCTTTGTTGTCAACAGTCCCCTGTGAGGTCACTGGTCCCCAGTGATGTAACTGCTGTCTCTGTGATGTCACTAATGTCCCCAGAGGTGGCACCATGTCCCCGTGAGGTCACTGATGTCCCTGTGATATCACAAGATGCCTTTGACTTCACTGATATCTCTGTGACATTATGGGTGTCCC